TAAAAACATATATTAAAATGCCTAAAACCTCTATAAATAATTTTAGCCCTAAAAACCCACAAGATGCTGGGGGGGGGTATACATATACATATACATGTGGTGGGGGGATGCATAAGAAGTCAAGGGCCCATGGAAGCAAAAGTAATACATATAATAGGTAATTTATTATGTAATATATATATAGGTCAGGCAGATTCTACTCAGAAATGGTCCCTAAGATATCTCAAATTTGCAGTAAGATACATACTGATTTTTCAAGGAATTCAAAAGGAAAAATCAAATACCTTGGTCATCTTTTTCTGTTCTTTCAAAGAGGGCAAACTTGCGGGGATTGTCAACAACCATGAATTTCTTGAGCAGGGCTTCAATGACTTCACTGGCCCGTGTACGAGAAATTATATGCAGGTGCTTGATTGTATCCTTGGGTAAATAGAATGAAGTCCGGCGCTTTACAGCCTGGCTACGCACAGAACTCTTCCTAGTGTCCTGGATTGAGGGTGCTTTCTTATTGGCAGGTACTGACACAGGCCGTATCAGCTTTAATTGTACCTTAATGAAGCCAGTATAGGAACCGTCTTTATTCTGCAGGAGTAGAACAACGAGTTGGGCAGAGAAGCCAGCAAAAATTACCTCTAAGAGAGCCATAGGGAAAAGGAAGGATTTGGATGGAATTTTCTTTTTGTTTGCTGAAACAGCTAGGAATTGTATTTATGGAATGACTTCTATGTTAATATTTAAATGACTGAGTTAGGGACTGAGGGAAGACACAGGCTTTTGAAGCTTAGGTGCAGAAATATATTAGGGGCCTTGATTTATAATTGTTCTGAAACTTACCAAACTCATGAAGAGGTTACTGTTGATCTGGCTGTTATATTCTTTTATCTTTTGCTCAATCTCAGCTTGAGACAGAATGGGTTTCTCCCAGTCAACCTGTTCATCCTGCAGAAGAATCAATAAACTTAAATTAGTTGATACTTTAAGTCTCAGAAAAGATAAAATGCAAAGGAGGAAGAAAAAGATTTCTTGATATGCCTTTCTCATCCCCTTTATTTTAGTATTGTAATGAGACTGTGTTACATGAGAATCACCATGGGACTCCAGAAATTTTCTTGCCTGTGTATCAGTGGGGAGCATCCTTTTCCCCACAGGTAAAGAATCCACACTCACAGCAAAAAAAACTACTTCAACTTTTCTTCCTGTTTCTTATATAGCAGAGGCCTCTCCTCCAAGCAGAGGTTCCAATACCATTTCACAGTTGCTTTTGCCACCACTCGTGCACAAAGAAGCCTCCTCCTTTACACAGAACAAAATGGGCGAAAAGAAAACTTTCCCTCACACTGAGCTTGGTATATTTGGGAGCAGCAAGCCACTGGTTCCAACTACTATATCACCCTGCACAAAGTCAAAAATCTTGCATATGACCTTTGGAAGGGAGAGGTATGGCTGCCAAAGCAAAGCTGAAATAGATAGAACCTTTCTATATATACATCTATATGTACTTCCTAGTGAGCATTGCTATAATGTCCTTTTTCAACACCTTCATATAAAAAAGTCACGTAACTGCTTTTAATTCTTAGTATTATACAACCTTATTTCAGGCCTCCTATCCACAGCTTCCCCTGCCACATTTAACCAAGACAACCATTATACATGAAATCTAAAGGGGAATTTGCATCATTATTAAACATAGGTCTGAATCTCTAACTGCTGTTGAACCATGAAACTGTTCTTTGAAACTCTCTGGATTCAAAATGTAGTTTAGATACTTGCTAATAGAAGTAATGCCATTTAGAGTGGAAATAGAATGTGAACCAAAGGCACTGCCCTGTTAAAAACCCTTCTGGAAAAATCCAAGCTGCTCTTGGAATCCTAGAAATTTAAACAGTTTAGTAGTATGCATCCCCCTTTGGATAATACACCTATTAAGTACAATAGTATAAATAGTGAGGGGTAGTATAATGAAATACGATACTGAGAGCCAGGCCTTATCTAAAATGTAAGTCCCCCCTCCCCCCAACATAAACGTCAAGTAAAGTCATTATTCTACATTTCACTCCACCCAATTCCTTTACCCACTCTGGCATGAGTGAGTTCACTGTGCCAAGCTATAATTCTTGAACCAGCCCCACATTTCTCAGCATCAGCTATAAACAGCAGAGGACAAAATCCTTTGGTATCATCATTGGGCGTAACAAGAGAAACTGAAATAATCACACACCACACCTTTGTTTGATGTTACACCAAACCCAATGACATGAAAGTTAATTAGCCTCATGATTAATATGCAGTAGGCTGCTAATCAGAGTTCTATTACCACAAGGAAGCCAGAAAAGATTCTTAAATTACTCCTGCAAATTACAGCAGCTTGCTACCGCCTGAATTTCCAGAAGCTACAAAACTGGCATTTAGTACAAGACAACCATGATAAGCAGAGGAGAATTTGTTGGGACTATACCAATACAACAAATCAATTTATGTTTTAATTACTACTTTACCACTATTTTTTCTTATTCCTCTAACACCTTAAAAGGGATGGGGAAAGGCATGCTGTTTAGGAGCATTACCTATAAACATTAAATCTTGTTTTGTGTTACTGTGATACATAGCAAAATATTGGGAAAACTGTGTCTCTGAACACATATATTTGCATCTTATTGTTAAAAAAATAAGGCATTTTGTTTTGTTTTTAAAGCAGGGTACTTAATCTCTAAGATTTTTCATAGTGTTGCAATTGTAAATCATGTATTTAATTGTTGGGGATTTAATTGTATTTATTGAGATAATGGAATGTCTCATATATTGTTACTCACTGCAATCTTGGAATGGAAGAATGGATAGATGGATGGATAAATCTGTGTGTCAGTAATTGCAAGGTGCAACTATCTTGAGAAGCCCTTGTTAAGTCACCACTACGATGTTTCTAACTAATATCTATAAAACTCTCTTTACCTTGTTTTGCTAATAACTGAATAGTTAATTTTAATTTTATAAGAAGAACATTACTCAGAAAAACAAAATTCAATAGACCAGCTTTTAAAATGCTTTTTAAATTAAGGATTTAAGAATTCAAAAATCTCTACTCCATAAATTTAGTTGTAACAAGAACATTTCAGGTTCCATACTAAAGTACAACTTTCAACCTAGAGAACTGTGCACATAAAACGACGACTTCTACATGTGTAACAAAAACCCTACAGTTTCTCTTTTCCAACTTTTCAGTTATTTGCTTCTGGTTGCATCAGCCTTCTTTCCAGCTGACATTCTCTAGTGGAGGAAGGGAGATTGTGGGGAATTCCAGATGAGATCATTAAAAACCAGTCAGAAATCTCTAAGGATTACTGAAAATCATTTCCTATCTCACCACAATAGTAAGCACAGGAGTCAATGATTTACGAGATTGGTTCCCATTTCCCCAGAGTCCTTCAGAGACAAGTCATACATACATTTATGCTTCAGATGTATGTTACATGTATGCAGGAGCCGTACAGCAGAAAAGCTTTAAGTAAAGATTTCTGTCTAATTAAATCAGTTTGATAAAGAGATTCAAATGCAAGGTTTACATGTGGTAATCCAAGATTAAAATCCCTGTAGGTAGCTTTAGGCAAATCAGCATTTCTCAGCTTAGTTCACTGCACAGCTGTTGAGAGATAAAAATATGCAACATTCCTTGGAGGAAAGGTGGGATACAAAATTTTGCAAATAATGTAAACAAACTGAATTATAGACAGAAGAGCCAAAGAATTATAATTCGTTAGCAAGAAACATATCCCATGCATTTATTAGCAAAACACAATGTTTAAAATAAACTTATATGCCATTTTCTTCAACTGAAAACAGAGTAATAAATGATACATAATAAAAACAGTATTAATATAAATGAGCACAAACATCAGTAACACAAGTGAGGGAAAGCAGCATAAAATAAGGTATTACAGCCTCCAGAGAGGTCCATCTATTTAGAATTTCCAATACTATATTGTTTAAAGGATAATCACCAATCCATCTGTTGCCAATTCCCCTATATTTCTAAAGTAAGGACAGGAAGTGCCAAAATTATAGTCTAAGCAGCTTTATTTGGGAGATGTTCTTTCTATTAGTCTGGTCATTACTAAGGAAATCATTAAAAAATTCAGCCATATTAAATGGAATGGAGAAGCATATAAAAAACCTATTTATCGAGATTGGTTATGCCTAAAAAGAATTTTTGGTACCCCAGATAACATGATAATATTCTGCCATGCAAAGAATGAAAACAGAAGTACCACTTCTTCAGAGAAACCACCTGCCCTTTGTGTTCTCTTAGCTGGCATCTAAGAGCAACCATTTTATCAACATATCAGAACAGTTTTCATCCCAGGTGTGTATGTGTGGGGTTTTTTTTTAAATATTAATTATTAAATCAAAAGCATGCAAGTATTTTAGAGGCTGAACATGGAGGATAGTCTTCATATGATGCCCTGGGATATTTTTTGGATAACAAGCAAATTAATTAAAAAAAATTTTTTAAAAAGCTCTTCTAAATCAGGAGTTCCAAAGTGTGTGTACATGTGAGAAGGATGGAGAAGAATAGTTATCCCATCTGGTGGAGTCAAATTATATTATCAGCCAGGTAGGGAAGTAAATCTGACCTGATGGATGGTGGAACTATGGGAACCTTAAATCTCTATCCCCTCCTGCATTTTCTTCTAATCAATCTCTCTGACTTCAGAAAACAGGATTTCATGTCTTTTCCTTCTGGGAAGCAGGGAATGTACTAAAGTGGAGTGACCACTTGGAGTGTTCTCAACTGGAGCGCCAGATTTTGCAAGCTTCAGCCATTCTCACCTTTCCTGAAGGGGAAAAGTACAGGAGAAGCCAAACATGGGATTCCCAACTAGAGCACCAGCTCTTGCTAGTGAGAGGATATGGGCTTTGAAATGTGTTTCAGACTGCATACAGATGGTAGTGTGGAGACTTCCCATCCATATATAAAATGTCCACTATATATTTAATCTAGTTTGTTTTGGCCCATGCCTTTAATGTGGAGTTTTGCTGCTACTAAAGCCTAGATAAAACATGCAAGGGGCAGAGTAAGATTTTGAAACAGTTATACCTCTCCTTCGTTTAAGGAAAATAATAAAGCAACACTTTTCAAGGGTGACTCATAGTTTTCTACTGTCTCTCCAAAGAACTGTGTGGGTGTGTGTACAGTGAATCTTGTTTTAATTTTCCACCTCAACACACCACCCATATAGTATTCATCATTTGCAAGAATTATACAACCTTCATCTTGCATTTCTTCACCCACCAAAATAACATCTATTTAATAACTAAACTCTTTCTGTTAACCCATCACTTTCTCTTTCACATATAGTGCTAATGTTTCAAATCAGAGTCTGGAAAAATTCTATTTAAGTTCTCTTATGGCTAAGGTAGATGTAACAAAAGGCATAAGAAAATAAAAACTCGTTAAATAGAACTATCTTAAGACTTTTACAATGTTGTTATTTGGTGCCTGAGAGAATTCTGGTATTTGCCCCAGCCACTTTCCAGCAACTACATGTTTCCTTGCAATCTGTTTTGTTAGCTCTTTTTTTTTTTTTTTTAGTCTATTAATTAAACCAGTCTCAGGAATAGTGAATAATTAGCCTATTAATAAATATATAATTTGAATTTCATAATATGAAATATGAGAAATCCAGTGAAGCCTAAACCACAACTGACTTGCAGGAAGCTGGATATATCAGGGCAAGGAGCATTTCCCAGGCACAATGATCTGATTTAATGAGCAAAATGGGAAATTGTTGCATCCTGTGGAAAAGAGCAAGAGGAAATCCATAAGGGTGGGACAATGAAGTGGATGATGGTTTGGATAGGATAGAGAATCCCACCCATCCACAAGAACAGCATGTCAGGGACATGGATATCCTGTTTACATGATATAGAACTGACTCTAGGAC